CTACAACTAAATAAACAAAATATTTAACAAGAAAAAAAACACAGCATAAAAAGTCTTTAATGTAAAAATCTTTAAGATATCATCATATAAAAAATACCCAATATTAAAAGAAACTAGACTTTCAGGCTATCATGAGAATTTCCCAGACCACCTTTTGTCCTTAACACTGATGCAAACAAAGAATAACTTCTAACAGTTACCATAGGACATAATACAAAAAAAACAATTTGACACATTTACAGTCTCCAACAAATTCTGAAGAATTTACTAAGAATTTATCTGCATTATGACTAACACCAAACAGCAAGTTGCTGCACTGACCAACTATTTGTTTACATAAAGCTAATATAAAAAGAATAATCACCACTTAATGTTTACCATATACAATGGATGAGCTAAGAACTTCATAAACTTTAACATACTCTTCATATACACTACCAGATTATCCCCCACTTGTGGATGAAGAACCCAAGGTTCAAGAAGTTGATTTGCTCAGGGACACAGCAAGAAAGAAGTCAAACCTACGGTTGGTTGGCTCCCAAGCCATCTTTTCACTAAACCACAATGATTTTACACCGTTCTAGCCTAGGGTGTAAGCAAAGCACAATTTCTTTCATAATTAACAATATGGCAATATTATGTCAGACATTCTAGAATATTTTAAGATCTTAACAGAGCAAAGGTGGTTCATAAGACCAATCTCTCCTTCTTCAAAGTTGATTTATTGAACTACTTAATATATCAAGAGTAATAAGTCACATGATGTGAAAATTCAAATTTTTCAATTTCCTCTAAAAATGAACTTCCAATCAAGCCACCAAGATGAAGATCTCTCTTCAAGTTAGCTACAAACAAAAGGCTTAATGTTGGTGTTCTAGGATCCATTCATTCTTTTGGTAGGACTAGTAAAAAGTCTAATAGACTACCTAGTCCTATCACAGTAGAACAAATTTGAAGGTCAGAGCTGTGATCCAGATAAGAAATTCCAGAGCTTTCAAAACAATTTTCCAAGCTTCTGTTAAAGCAAGTGGGTGGTTCTGTTTCAACATGGGTAAATAAAATTAACAGAAAATTCTCCAACATCACTTTATAAACAACTTAAGTTTGCTCGTTTGCCTTGGCATTGACCACCTATTGCTTTTTGTGGGTGTTTTTTGAGGGTATAGGGGATTGAACCCAGGGGCACTTAATCATTGAGCTACATCCTCAGCCCTTTTTATATTTTTATTTTAGAAACAGGGTCTCACTAAATTGCTTAGGCCTAAATTGCTTAGTCTGGCTTTAAACTCACAATCCTCCTGCTTCAGCCTCCCAGCTGCTAGGATTACAGGCATGTGTGACCATGCCCAGCTTCAGCTATTGTTAATAAACTACAAAACAGAATAAAAAAGAAGGGGGGGGGGGGGTTACATATAATCCTCAAATTAGAGACTCAACTGACATACATTAAATTTGAAGACTTTTAAAGTGAGAAGTGAATCTTTGTTTTTTAGACAATAGGCCCTTGAAAGTAAAATGGATAGAAGCAGCACTGCCTAATGGTTAAAAGCACTAAAGCACTGTAGTCAATAAATATTTTTGTCTTAAACCCTGGCACCTTTAATCTGCCAATTAGCAATTGTGTAACTGTTAGCATGTAATTTAATCTGAGCCTCAGTTTCCTCAAACACAAAACAAAAATAATCCTTATCCTGCAGGTCTACTTTACAGATTAGACAAAGCTTAAAAGTTACTGGCATAAAGCAATTAACTGCTGTTAACTATTATCATTATTATATTGCATAGTCCTTGATTAAGCTGGAACCCAAACTTCTGAAGTCCAGTTCATGGTCTTCCAAGATTATCATAAAATCTATAATTCCAAACTTGCCCTATCACTCCAAAACTCAAAACTGAGACAGCCATTTATCCAACAATCACCCATGAACATCCTAGTGGCCTTCACCTACTTGTTCTTAATATGGCAGGTCAAATAAAAAGGATACTCAAGGTTTTGCCCAAGGCTCTACTGGCACTTTTCATAATGATTTCATCTAACTAGGTTCCAGATTTATCTTTTGTAAATGTGAGAATTTGAGTAGATGGCCTCTGTGGTACCTTCTCTAAAATGATATTCAATAAAAAGCTTCCTAAACAAAACCAAACCACACCCTCAGCACTTGGCAAATCACTTCATTATTCAGAAAAAAAAAATTTATTTCCTTGATCAGAAAAATAACAAAAATATTACAGACATTATGGGATCACAAATAATACTGACTTTTCCACAAATGGCTAAAATTCACTGTACTACTTACTATTGGATCACTGAAGTCTACACTCTCAATTCTAAAGGTGGTTCTTAATTGGGAACCATTCATTTAGCTGTTTAAAACCTCCTCTCCAGGTACTAAAATGGTAGAATACTTACCTTCTAACAGGTAATATATGAAAATGCTAAAGTAGTTTTGATCCCACTAGGTAATTTCAGAGAGACTGGGTTTACCCTAAAATATTCTATACCAAATTGGAGTGATTGTAACTTGTGAACTCAAGAACCACGAACACAGTTGTTTTGTGATTTACCACATTTGGGGAAAAGATTATCTAAATCAATGAAAACAAGTTGCCATTTCCTGCTGCACTTATACAAACTGTATTGTATGTACAGGAACCAATCTCCCAAGAAGCTAAAGACAATCGTTTGCTGAAAAAAAAAAGAATCTTCTCATAAGTTGTCTCTTATATTATGCTTTTGTCTTCTTTTCTTGTTAGAAAGGAAACATTTGTTATAAACCCAACTGTTTAAGCCGTTGTCACTAAAAGTTGAGTTGATGCTAAAATAGTTCAACTTTTGGCGATCCAAAGAGGAGTACTTGATGGATTCCTATTAAATACTCAATACATTGACTCCGAATAACTAGTTTGTATTAGAAAAATTTGATCCCATAAATGAAAATCAGATTCTTCTGGATTAGCAAGAAATATTTCACTGATCTCAGTTCTTCAACAGAGCTCAAGACATCCTATGATACATCCCAGAGTGAAAAAGCAAAAATTTCTGGGGAAAGGATTTCCATATTAGTAGCAAGGAGTTATTGGTGACCTCAGAGGCACCTATAGAATACTTACGAATTTGTGTGTAGATATTCAAATGTTAGCTGAGCTCGATTCAGACTGCTATAATTTGTGAAAGCCATAACTGCAATGAGGTCTCCAGTCTTTTACCCAGGGAGAAATATATATAATGGAGCAGATTTTCCAGGATTCCGTCCAGTTAAGATTAAGTCTGTGCTCCTTAATGACAGTTGAAACAAGTTACCTAGTATCTATCCAAAATATATTCAGATTTTTTAAACAGAAATTGATCTCAAATCTGTTTTAATCTTCTCGTTGACTATGATGTAATATTTTGGAAAAAACTACGTCATAAACCTGCAGTCCTAAAGAACTTTCAGAGTTAAGTTTCGATAATTCAGACAATCCGAGTGCAAAGTGGATTGGTCCAGAAGTAGACAGTCCTTGAGTTGGCGGTTTGTCACTGTTTCATCTTCCAAGTCTTCGCGTTCTTCGAGGCTTTTTTTAATTTTTTGTTCCCCTAAATTTCCTTTACTAATCCGGAAATTTACCCACTTCTGTCATAAAACTGACCATTCACCCATGTCTTCGCCACCAGGGATGCCAGTCTTTATATAGGCCCTAGGCTGGAGACCGCGACGTCGATGTTGTACATATGGCGCTAGCTTTACCACTTCCCAACTGAAAGAGCTGCTAGGCACAGACTGCGATTTCTTTTTTCAAAACCCGACCAAACCTAGCTTGCTGTCCCGCCCCAATCTCCACAGGGTGGTGGGTCAAATTACCTCACACTGGCCCACTGAAACGCCTCACAATTAACCCGCCCAAATCACCTCAGGCGGCCGCGCCCCTCCCCCACTCCCCTCAGCGGCCTCAGCCCCTCAATCCCTTCCCGGGCCTCGGTCCTGCGGCCGCCTCCTCACGAAGAGGAGTTTAGTCTCAGTTTTCAAGGCCCGGATCGAGGGCAGTAGCAAGCGCACCACCCGATCGGGCGTTGCCTGGAGCTCGCAGCTGCCTTTGTCCCTCCCCGCGGAACTGGAACCCAACAACCGCAGCGCGCTCTTGGAACCATGTGCTGCCTCCGCCTCCGCCGCCTCCGCCGCTGCCGCCCGCGCGCCGCGCAGGATAAGATGACAGGACTCAGAGCCACGAAATTCGGCGTTTAGGGCTTTTCTGCCGCCTCCGCTACAGCCACCACAGCCACTGCTTTGTCTCCGCTAGCGTTTACAGCCCCGGCCACCTCGCGCACTACCCGACGCCCCAAGCCCCCGAGGCCTCCGCGGCCCATTCCGCCAATCACAAAGCAGCAGGTTCTCCCGCCCCCTCCCTGATACCCCGCCTCCTGATTGGCGGGCAGCGTGCCCCCACGTGACCGGATCTTGGTTGGCCGTCCCGCCCCTGTCACGTGAGAGTGCGCTCCTCTCTTCCTGCTTTCTTGACCCTCTCCGCCATTTAAAGAAACAGTACCGGGGGCGGGCCGAGCGACGCAGCCGGGACGGTAGCTGCAGAGCGGACCGGAGGAGCCATCTTGTCTCATCGCCGGGGAGTCAGGCCCCTAACTCGAAGAAGCCCTGGCGCGCCCTCCCCCCCTCCCCGGTCTGGTAGGGCGAAGGAGCGGGCGCGCGGTCGATCGAGCGATCGGTTGGCGGCTCTTTCTCCTGCTCTGGCATCCAGCTCTTGGGGCGCAGGCCCGGCCGCCGCGGCGCGCGCCCGGTGGCCGTTGGCGCTCGCGCCGCGTCTTTCTTCTTGTACGCAGAACTCGGGCGGCGGCCTATGCGTTTGCGATTCGACGAGGAGTCGTCCGGGTGGTCGGTGGCGGCGGGCAACTCCTCCGCCCCGCTCCCGGGGAGGCGGCGGCAGCGGCGGGATTTGGCGCGGCCGGGGAGGCGGGGGTGGCCGGGGCCGGCCTGGAGGCCTGGCGCCACCCTTCCGGGCCTGCAAGAACCCAGTTGGGGGGGCAGGAGGGAGCTGGAGGATGGTTGGTGGTGGGCTTTCTACTTTGCCTTTTCCTCCTCATGCCGCCTTAGTGAGATGCGGAATCTCTGGCAGCAGCTCCGGGGTGGGGATACGAGCCCTGGAGTAGAAGAGCTGGGTTTGCTTCCGGGCCTATCCACCAGCTGGCCGAGTGACCTTAGGCAAATCACTCTGTAATTTGTCTGCGCCTCAGTTTCCTCCTCTGCCTGTCGTTGTGTGTGGGGTTGAAAGCGCTTTGTAAACTATAAGGCGTTGGTATACGTAAAAGATGAATATTGTAATGTTTTTTGAGTTGTAAGAAAACAACAATTACCCATCTGTGGGATTTTGAACCTGGGAACCTTAGATTGGAGTTGGAGATCCCTAAAACTCCCAGATACTGTATGCAGAAAATTTGTGGGAACATGCATTTGTAAGGAATGATAATCCACAGCTGGCAAGTTTTCAGAGGGTCCTGTGACCCAGAAGAGTTAAGATCGATTCCTGTATGCCACTTCCTTTATGCCACGGGGAGGAAACTGAGGCCTAGATGTCATTTGGGTTCCTTCACTACCAATTTGAAGCCCCCCGTGTGAGTCCCTGGGATATGTGAGCTGTTTCTATGCATAATGGATGTTGGGGGTAACAATAAGCCCTGCTGGCTTCTGTTCTGAATCCTTTCTTTTCACCATGGGGTGCCTGAATGATGGCTGATGTATATGGTACAATGGCACCCAATGTAAAGCAGCTACAATTAAGGGTGGATGTGTTCTGTAATATCAAGCATATTTAATCTTTGGCCCAGAAGTTCTTTGTTTTTTGCTGTTTATACTGATGTCTGACTACGTTTCTTTCATTGACCATTTTGCTATGTTTTCACTTGCTCCTATTTTGTGTCCCTAGTTTGTGTGTTTGGTAGTGAATAGGCTTATTTTTAAATGGTGCTGCCATGTACAGCTAATTAATGGTGCACATGGATTTTTAGCAAGCAGGCTCACTGGAACAGGCATGGAATTCCTGAAGATGTTTTGGATTTTTTCTTTATTTGAAGGCTAACATGCTCTTAAAAGTTCTGTTAAAACTCCTGCTGAACCTCAAAAATCAGATTTGGTAGCGATTTGAAACTTTCCTGGCCTGCCATGTATTCTGTTGGTTATAAGTGTGATAAGGAGGCAGCCAAAATGCCATTTTTTGTTTCTTTGTTAATTGTCAGCTGCTTTTATCAAATTCCAGTCTGTTATCCAGCAAACACTAAAAATGTTTGAATAGTTGGATTTCAAACATTTTAACTTTGTGGAGTGGTGCTTACCAAGTGGTACAGCTCTAAGCAAGTGAACATGAACACTTTTAAGTGTAGTTTGTCTGATTAGATGTTAGCCAGTTCTGCTGTTTCATTCAAATGTCTGGAAAAAAAAAAAAAAAAATCAGTTGACTGTTCCTTTACCTAAAGGGCAGAGACAAATGATTCACTCCCAGAAAAAATGACTTTTTTTGAAGAAAACTGTGTTTGTCTTTAGCTCTTTTGTAATTAAGTCTGGATGTACCTCAAAAGAATCTTTAGACTGTGGTGATAAGAGGCTTTCCTCCAGAGAAAGGGGGAGAAAAACAACTGGAACTCAAAGCTTGAAATTCTGTAACAAAACATGAGATGTCCAGGATTGGAGGTTGAAAAGGTTTTGCTACAGTGTCCTGCAATCATTGAAGCAGATAACTTTTAGTAGCTGCAGCCATGGACTCCAGATTTTCAAGAACTGGACCTGCAACCCAGAAGAGCTTGTCAGGATGTGGCAGGAATTCTGGAGGTAGTTTTTTTGGTTTGGTTTGTTTTGTTCTGTTTTTAATTTGGGGACTGTTGACCTTGCTGTGAGAAAAGAGGCAACTGAGCAAGCACTGCCACCAGCAATGTTTATGGGAATTAGAAGACCTGAGTTTCTCTTCAGAACTTCTGTGCAAACTGATAACACTCCATCCAAAGTGGATTACGGTACTTGACATTTTCCAAAATGCCCTATTTCACCATCTCTGCACTTTTGTTCATACTCTCTTCTCTACACTGGAAATGCCCTTCTCTTTCTTTACCTGTCAGAATTTTGCTATTTCCTCAGCATCCAGCTCACTCTCCTCCCCATGAATCTCTTAACTTTAACCAGATTGTTAACCTTTAAACATAACATATTATTATATCTTTCATCTGTCTTTGTATGCAAATTCTTGTAGTTATTTGCATGCATTTGTTCTCTTTCTAGATAGCAAATCCTTTGAAAAGGACCTTGTTTTATGCACCTACATACCACTACCTCTGATGAAGCATTTATTACAAAGGAAGACTTTAGAGAACAGGCTGTCTCAGAATCAGTTGAGTGTATGCTTAATCACTGTTTAATAACTAAAATTTTTCTTGATTAGAAGAAAAGTCACTAAATATTCTAGGCCCATTCCTATCTTTATTTCATGTTTTATTTTTTAATTCTAATTTTTTTGATGAGAGTACTGGGGATTGAACCCGGGCGGGGAGGCGGGGGGGTTACATCCCCAGTCTTTTTATTTTGAGGTAGGTCTCCTTAAGTTTCTGAGGCTGTCCTTAAATTTGTGGTTCTCCTGCCTTAGCCTCCTAAGTTGCTGGGCTTAGCTTATAGACATGCACCGCCTTACCAGTTTAATTCTAAATTTTAAAAGATATAGGAAGCCCTTGGGCATAAAGAGCAATTGATATGTTGAAGGGAATTTTTTATACAGAAGCGGGCAAGAACTGAGGTCTTACTCCCTCCTACTCAAAATGTTTAAAGTTAGGGCAGCTTTTTAAAGGAGATGATTTAAAAAGGAGGAAGGAAGAAAGGCAATATGGTTTCTTTTTTGTATATAAATTTTAAATTCACTATGTGCCACCTGCAGAGCCACTTCCTTCTCTCTAGCAACTGAGCTCAGCAGCTGGAATACCATCAAATTACTGCCCCAAAATATGGGTCTTGGAGCAATTGCTTTTTGCTGCATCTCTGAGACAGTTCGTTCTGAGAAGGCAGGAGGTCTTTGCCAAAGAAGTCTTTCAGTTCTTATTAGTAATTGCTAATCAGACCTTTGTGTTTTCCTTTTGGATTTGCTCTCCTCACTCACACCAGTTTATAATCTGTCAGCCTCTAAGCCAGGCTGGTCAAGAATTAGTATCTATCAGGCAGCTGTGCTACTAGCAGACTCTCCCCAGTCTTAGAATTCTGTATTTATAGTTCCATGCATTTGTTATCTTACTTGTTTTATCCCTGCCCCTTCTAGTCCTGTGCCTCCTGATTGCTGAGTGTTCACCTGGACCTTCTGACCACCTTCCTTCTGCTAGACCATCAGCCTACAGACCTGGTACCTGGATTTTTGCTCATGGTGATTCCTGCCACTTTACTACTGAAGAAGGCATCATTCCAGTGGACACTGTGACCCAAGAGGCATTCATCCATCATGATGTGGCCTTTACCTCCACTCCTTTCCTGTTGTACCCAGAGTCAACACAGCCCTTTATAGTGTAGTCAAGAGTCCTGAAGCCAAATGGCTGAAGCTATTTTATCACAAAGGCCCAGTTTTTTCCATGAGTGTACATTTCATTTCTTCAGTTAAAGCCTTCAGAAAGACACAATAAAGTTGGACCAGGGGATTTGTAATTGTCAACTATGTCAGAAGAAATGAAACATCTCTTTGAGAACAGCATTAGACCATGCCCCCCCAATCTCAAATGATTGAAGTTCATGAACTAACTGTCTTGATGGAATCCCATCAAGGTCACTGAACCCTGTTTTTTTCTACATCAAATCTGTAGTAGCCTACTGAATGAGAAAGTAGATACTCTGACCCATTGGGATCAAAAGAAGGCACAGTGAATTCCTCATAGCATCTTCTTTGGGATTACTCAGGAACCAGAACTCTTCACAAAACATAAGAAATTCTACTAAGGAATCCCTTTACCTAATGGCATCTCACAAGACTACAGTCAGACTCAAGAAAAGGCCTCTTGATACATCAAGATAGCACCTATATGGTAATCCCCTATGTTTACCTAGCACTTTACAGTTTCAAAGCACTTTTACATGTATTTCAATAATCAAAATAACACAATAATGTATCCCTTTTTTAAATGAGGGAACCCGAATTTAAGAGGTAAAGCAGTTAACCAAGGTGACTCAGCTACAAAATGATAGAGGCCAAGCCTTCTGACTCCCAGTCCAGTATTGTCCTTGGCATTAACTTACCCACAGTGTTATAATGGCTGGAGATAGGGAATTAAAAGTTTTCAGCTTGATCTGGTGACCCCTTGAGGATATTTTATGTATAATCATGTGATTGGTCCACTTAGATCAGAATTACATGGCAGTATCCCTAGGGTAGAGAAGCAAACTGTCTATGGTGGTAGATTGTCCAGTCAAAAAAAGCATGTTTTCATCAGTAACAAGATTGCCCAATGTGAAACAGAAAGCAACTTATAGCTCTTCAGTCCATTTTTTATGATCTTCTTGAGAAGATCATAAAAAATGGCCTAATTGGTTAGGAATCTTGTTCATATCATGTCTTTTTGTTGTTTAATACTAATAGACACAGGGAACTTATTTATAGTCCTCTGTCCCCAAACTAATATTTACAATATGAGCAAATTTTTTTCCTCTGTATATGGTAGATAAGTATCTCGTAGAACTTCTAATTCTGTAAGATGTATCCCTTCCTACAATGCAGTGTAAAATATTAAAGGAGCTCAAAAGACTTGGCAGCAAAGAGGTCCATTTAATTCTTTTGCCCATTATGTCCTGAGTTTAATCAAACAGGGTTTTGTTTTGTTTTTTGGCAGCATTCCTTTTAATGGAATGAAAAATTGCTTTAGAGCAGTATAACCAGGGCTTCCTGATTACCAACAAATTGACCTAGAGACCCATAATAAACATAGTATCTTTTGAAAACCGTATTCTCATACTTTGTCTTTTTATTTTTTCCAACATTGAGCCTCTTAACACTCAAAATAAATACCCAGTCCTTTTTATTTTTTCACTTTGACACAGTCTCACTAAGTTGCCAAGGCTGACCTCAAACTTGCTCTTATCCTTCCTTAGCCTCCCAAGTCACTGGCATTATAGGTGTGTACCAGAGTACCTGGCTCTCATATCATTAACTGAATTAGTATGTCTATTATCTGAGGATCCCATATGTTGATCATTACCTTTGTTTTGTGTTAAGGAATCCTTTAGAATATTTGTGGGACTATAAGGTTGGGGAATGGGAGAAAGTTAATTCTGCCTCCCAAAACTGAGTTTCATGACATTTAGTATACTTCTCCCTAAAATTGTGCTATAAACTTTGTTGCATCTCAGGTGAGTGAGGAGGTTGGGAAACGGACAGGAGGAAGAGACAAGAAAAGGAGAAGTGATAAGAGGAAATATTTTCTTAGAATTTGAGTTGTGGCTCATAGAGGTGTTAGCAGTGCTTAAAGAAAAGTCATTGAGCCACCAGCTTCTTGAAGTTACATTTACAAACAGATGGATGCATTTTGCATGTATATGCAAAAGCCCCACTGCTATTGCAACTAAGAATTAATAGTCTTGTCCTCTGGTAGTCATAAGCCCGGCTTTAGGTATCAATTTGTAGGAGACTTGATCTTTAATTTCATCAACCTGTAAGGGGTCCATATGAGGGAAAGAATGAATAGAAAAAATCTTGTCTTACCATAGACTTTGCTTACCTAGTTTCTGGTTTCTGTGACCTATTTTTTGTATTTCAGCATTTTGTGAACAGCTTATTCTTAAATCATTGGTTTTCCAAAGACTTGTGGCCATGAAGTCCTTTGAATGAAAATATGGAAGCCCAGAGTAAAAGTGAAGCTGCTCTAAGTGAAGTAGTGAAGCAGAAGTGGGGGTCTGCAACCTGCCATAACCATCATCCTTTACCACCATGGTGACATCAAAAGAGACTTCCTTGCAACATGTGGAATTCTTCAGAGCAAAGTTTGAAAACTACTGCCCCAGATGACGTGTTTGAGCTGAGTGGCATTCTAATCTTTTGTGTACCTTCTCTCAATATGGTCCATATTCAGTTGATGCTGAACATTCTTATGAATATTTACTGCAGACTTAGGAATGTGCAAGAAATGACAAAGTGCAAGAAATGCCTTTGCCCCCCAGAATGGTCATGTGGGCTGAAAATAGTGTCAAATGAACCTTCATTAATAGCCCTCCATCCCAGATGGACTTAAAATCACTCCTGGAATTGGATAGACCCAGAGAGCAACTAATATGCACCCTACACTGACAAATCCCACTTACCAACCTTCATAAACACCAGATGTACTACTGGTACTGAAGTACATGAATGATATCTTAGACCTTCCTTGGATACCTGAAAAACCTACAGGTTGATACTGAAACTGATTCCTCATTGAGACCATCTTAAACCAACTTGTACATTTGACCTCTCATCATTAACCATGGTACTATACTTCATATGCAAGGGATAAATAACTATGAAAGCAGAATCCAAATACTGGCAGCATTTCCCAAAGGGGCTCAGTACCTGGTTATCATTCATCTTTTCAAACTACAAATCACTATATGACTCAACCAGTGGTAGTTTACACTGCTCCTTGGTTTATATTCAGTTAACCGTTGTTTCCAGGACAAGTGAGCCTTTAAAAAAGTTGGGTTTTTTGTTTGTTTAACTTTAATTTTCTCCATCACTTGGCATATCTGCTTGTTCTACAAAATTAATATGAATACTAGTCTCAAACTACATGTAACAGCTGATCTTCAAGACAATCTTTGGACATCCCTTCTCATGTGATTTTAAATGTAGCCATTTGGAAAATTTTTCTTATAGCCAGTGAGAAATGTTCTTGTAATATGAATCTTTTGTGCCTGGTACCATCAACTATATATGCTAGCGATAGTTAAACTTAGGCCCTTTGATCAGACCATGGTAGCCAACTCACTGGGCTACATTTTTGTCAGACTGATATGGAAAAAAAAAAAAAATACAGCAACAAAGGATTTTAATACTTAAAACTTTTGTCCTCGTGGATATCTTAAATCACATCTGTCTCAATACTGCTGTTTTATGCCAATTAAAAGTGGTTGGCTTTATTCCTTTCTGTGAGATACTTTTAGTCATTAGGACAATTTATTTCTGTAAGAAGGATTCAATTCTTGAATTCCCAAATCATATCAAATGAAGAGACTTCGATTTGTGTCCTGAGAAAAATCTCATCCTTTACTGCACAATATAAGGGCCGGCCATCCTCAGCCACTTTAACAAATGTACAGATTCAACGCTGGAAATGTTTTCTTTATGTCCTTGTTTCTTAGCCTCTAGATTAATCGTGATTATGTGATTCATTCTACAAATCATCAAACAAGACTTAGTCCTGTTGCTGTAGACTGCTTACCCTCAGCACATTAAATCTAGATGAATATTCTGCTTATATATACAGCTTTTATATCTTCAAGCTCACTTTTTCTGCTGTCTTCAGATTGTCAAGTTGTCAGGTTTTTTCCCCCATGTGCTTTTCCTGTACCTTTCGGAAAAAGACATTTATCTACACTGCCAGTTATTCCCTCTGATCCTATCATACTCAATCAAAATGAAGGGTTTAATATGAGAGTGATCATCTGCTCAAGAGTCAAATGTATCCTGTGCTTAAGAATTGGTAATTAAGAAGGCAAAAAGCCCAAAACTTAAACCCAGGAGTTTCCCTACTATCTCCACACCTCAAATCTTATCCAAATCTTTCAAGAGTGCCATCCAACCAGTCTGAGGCCTTGACTTGCTTGTAAGATGACTCTCAGAGATGAGCTCAGTTACAGAAGATGAAGACTTGATTACCAAAGAAAGTAGGGCCAACTTTGACAAACCTGGCTCTGCTGACCCTGCTGCTCCCAGATATAGTGTAAACTGATAAACAGACCCTCAGGTCTGGATTGGATATGGCCTTTGAGCTGGCTGTTCTTGGGCAAATGAACAGGAAAATGAGAGCTGCTATACCTGACTAGCCCTTTAAGATCAGAAAATGGTATTCAGAGTAAACCCTGTAGAATAATTCTGAAGTACCCAGGGCAAAAACTAATTTATAGAACATTTATTAATCTGCCATATTATATCCTGTCTTTTGGTATGGCTGGCCCTGTTAAAGTTGCCCTGCTTGTCAATTTACCTGTCTCAACTCTTAACCTGCCTTTTTTAACATGTTTCTGCAATCAGACTGAGAAGACAATAGCCAATTTCAGCATATCTTGTGCCCAATTCCATCAAGGATTTCTGAATGGAAGCAGCCCATACTTCACCCCAAAAGGACTTAATGTTCACAACAGGAAAGGATCATGCTGCACACTCCTAGTAGTGAGTAAACTACACTTGACCATTTTGGGCACCTGGGACCTCTTCTGCCAGATCCGGAAGGGAAAAGTGCAGCAGATGGAAAGCAAATCCATTTCTCTCTTCTGCAACAACAGAAATGAGTCTGGTTCACCAGTACTCATAGGAATGTACCAGTTCAACTTGGCAAAAGACTTAAAGGAACACAAGAAAAGTTTTCCACTGAACTTAATAATTTATCACTGACTCATATAGCCTTGCAAAACTACTTGCCAATAGGAACCTAGTGGTCCTACTTCATGTCACGAAGATAATGGGACTCTCAGACTCAGCTGAGTTTGCTTGTATTGAAACTCTGGTATCATCCAAAGTACCCTATTGGACATAAATTACTATTCCATTCAAATGTATTATAGACTTCCTGAGGACATGAAAACCATCCCTATGGTTATTTTTAAAACAATTTTATTACCAGTGAAGAAACAATGCCAGCATTCAAATTCATAAGCAGAGATCAAGTTTTTTCAATATCTGGTCATATCCAGAACATCATTTGTTTTTGATTGCCCAGCCATTCCATCTCATTGTAGCAATTGGAACCCTATCTTCCTATTTGCAGTCCACGTGATTTGGATAGTGTGAGCCTTGGGATTCAGGGGTATACATGTAATTCAGACCTCATCAATCAACAAAATCCATGTCCTTGATCATAGCTATTGGTTCAGGAATGGTTGTTTGGCTCAAGTTGGTCTATTGTTAACCCTAGGAGTTTTACTGAATTGTGAAGAAGTTTTCTTTATGGAGGTGCTTTAGCTTTGTAGAATGAAAAATTCAAACCAATAAGGCCTATCACGACGTTGCATGAGCCACTCTGAGAATGAAGCCAGTGCAAAGGAAAACAGCCAGAGATGGAGAGACTTGAGTCCTGATGACAGCATTTGTGCCCCTGGATCCAACTGTGCCTGAAGCTAGTATATCCCCTGGACTTTGCAGTTATGTGAACCAATAAATACCCTTTTTTGCTTATGTTACTTTGAGTTGGGTTTCTATTACTTGAAAATGAGTCCAAACTAATACAGTACTTATACAAACATTGAAACTTGAAAGGTCCAAGGCTTTGTTAAACTAAGGTTTATAGCCTCACTGATATTTTCTAAAGTTAAAGAAAATGAGACAAGGACTGAGAGAATATTTAAATTACTACAGAAGGATAAAAATTACATGGTAGAAAATAGAACACCTAAATGTCCATCAGTAAAGGATTGGTTACATAAAATACAATTGAACCACATAAGAAAATCTACTGTTAAAATGATCAAGGCACATTTGTTGGGAATGGACATAGAAAAATGGCCATGATATATTAAGTGAAACAAGTTATTGATAGAAAAATACATAGTGTGAACTCATTTGTATATGCTTATATTTGTAAATGCCTAGAAGTCTATTAATGGCTTTCTTTGAACAGTATAGATTACACGAGAGTTAACTTTACACATTTCTGTATTTGAATATTTTACACTGCCACATTACTTTTTAAACTTTATTTAAAAAATAAAGAATTTTTAAAAATTTAGTGCTTACTGTTTGACCTTGGTAAGTTACTTA